GGGGTGGTTGGTTCCAAGGGCTGGTTCCCGCCCTGTCCCGCACAAGAGTGGCTCGGCCGTTTCTGCTACAGGACCCCCTTCCCCAACCTGGTGCCCTCCGAGCATGTCGGGCTTCCCGTCCAGCCCCCAGGCCAAGGCGCAGCCCACGCAGCGGATCCCCCTTCCCCCCGTTTGGTTTGGGAACGGCCAGCAAGTGAACCAGGCAGGAAGCGGGTCCGCCTCCCGTCGGGAAACCCCGGCAGCCGCCCAAACAGGCCGGAGAAGTTTGATTCCTGGGCCGTCGCCCTTTCCCTGAATGGAAAACCTCCTCACAACCACCCAGCACGAGAGGCTCATCGGTGGGTGCAATAAGTTCACGTGGCGCGATAGGATTGTGTGCGACTTGTGTTGTATTGGGGGGGGGGGTCACGAAGGGAGCCAACCGCCTAGTACACGGGTTGTACTCGGACCGTAAAGGTTGGGATCCTGAAGGGGGTGTGGATGTGTGTGTGTGGGGGGCTGAATCGGCCCCACGGGCCGCGTGACCCGGGGAGGCCAACGGGGGGGACCACCCACCCCACGGCCGCCGCACAGCCTGTTGTGACCCAAGCGCGCTGCGCGGACGGAGCCCCGGTCTAAAAGGAGGGGGGGCTTGCCAGGAGAGGAGGGTCTCCCCTCAAGGAACCGGGGACACGGGCTGCATTTCCCCCCCCCGGTTATTGTGAAGCCCCTCTGCACACGACCCTCCCAGCCGTTACGGGGGTCGCGGGGCTCCAAAGGGGAGGGCTGGCTTCGAGAACAGGGCTTGAGCTTCACGGGGGGGGGGGGCAAAGGGGAGGATTTGTGTCTCGGAAGGAAGGGGGGGCGGCTTAGACGGTTCCTTGCCAAAGCTGCTCTTGGGGGTGGGGTCTCCAGCCCAGCCAAGGGGGCGCCCGGGGCTGGGTCGGGCTTCGCGCTCCCTCGTGCGATGCCTGCCGTCGGGACTTAGCCGTGGTGGCCCCGCTCCGGTCAGCCGAGGCCTCCGGGGGGGCGTCACGCAGTGCTTGCAAACACAGTTCGGCCGGAGGCGGTTGGGGGGGGGGGGCGGTCGGGCCCCCAGGGGGGGGGGGGGCGCTCCGCTGGCCTCCTTGATTGGCCCCCCCTCGAGGGGCGGGGGGGGCTCCCCGATCCAAAGGAGGCGTCCAGCTTTCCCGGTCCCGAAGGGAACGTCCTGCAGACGGGGGTCGGGGGGCAAAGAGTCTGGGGAGGGGTCTGCAGTCTTCGGGCCTCCACGGGGAGGAGGCCGGGCAGGCGGCCGGGCAAGGCGCGTCTCCTCTGGTCCCAGAAACAGCTGCGAAAGGGACGGAGACACCGGCTCCACGGACACGCGGAGCGGAGAAAGCGCCTGCCGCGCGTGGGCGCGTCCCGTAGCCAGTCGGGTGCACTTCCCTGGCCGGGGGAGGGGGATGGAGGGGGGGGCGGCGGCTGGAGCCCGGCTTGGATGGGGGGGGCACCCTCGCTCTCAGCCCAAAGGAACGACGGGGGGGGGCGCCGCCAGGAACGTGGGGGTGGTGGCAGGGGGGGGGGGCTTGCTGCTCTATGTGCGGCTTTTTGAGGAGGGGGCCGATGGGACCCAGTTTGACCTTGCCCGTCTTTGGCAGCGAAGTGGAACAAGCCTCCCGCGCCCCCATCTTCCTACTTCGGCGCCTGCTTTTGGAGGGGGGGGCTACACAAGCCCTCCGCTCAGGAGGGAGGAGAACCAGCTTGCTGGGTTGGGCCTCTGGGGGATCCTTGGAGCAGGGCTCTCCCCCCCCCCCACCTTGGCCCCTGTCAGACTGCAACTCCCAGAATCCCCCAGCCAGCAGCAAAGCTCCCGACTTAAAGGGGCCGAGGTCGCAGGCAGAAAGGCGGCTAATCCCAGCTCCGTGAGTTTCCAGGTTCTGTAAGACGGTCTTGGGGCCGATCACAGCCCTTGGGGGGGGGGGGCACTGAGTCTGGAGACACCCCAGAACGAAGGACCCTGGGGGGCCCGTTTCCAAGGCCCCCCTCTGTCAAAGGGGTTTTCCTGGCCCAATTTGTAAAAAACGGGGTAAGAGGATGGGGGGGTGCAGGCTAGCAGCCTTCCAGTATTGGAGGGGCTGCCCCAGAGAAGAGGGGAAGCCCCCCCCCCCATCCTCCAAGCAGCAGCGGATGGGAGATGATTTAAAGGGCGGCGATCCAGTCTAGAATGAGGACTTTTCTGACCGTGAGGACAACGACACAGCGGGGCTGCTCCTCGCCTGCAGAGGTTGTGGATGTTCCAACAGGGGGCGGGGGGGGGGCTTTAAAAGGAGAGTTTAGACAACCATTTGTCTGAAGTGATATGGGGTCTCCTGCTTGAGCAAGGGGCTGGACTAGAAGACCTTCGAGGCCCCTTCCAACTCTCTTATTCTGTAAAAGATGCCAAGGGCTGGGGGCGCGCAGCTGATGGGGGGCACCTGAGGTCCCAGTGGGGTTTGTGCTTGCTGAGAGGCTGCCTCAAGGAGCTGCCCCCCCCCACACTGGCTGGGGATGATGGGAACTGCAGCCCGACACAGTTGGAGAGCACCAGATGTGGGACCAGCCCTGCATTTGCTGACGTTTAAAACGGTCTTATCACACAATTTGTGCGGGATGTTCATTGTTTTAAAACAGGCCTTTTAAATTGTAGCCCCCACCAAGTTTTTCACAGAGGGGGGGGGGTGGGAGTCCAGGCTTTGCTAGGTGTCCCTGGGATGTTGGGACCTCTTAGAATTCTGGGGCTGCTTCCTTCCTCCTCCTCCTCCTCCTCCTGCGACCGGGAGCCTTAAAATTCGGTAGTGCCACCGTGGTGGGTGCCTGTCCAGGGAGGGGATAGACCTGGCCCCGTCCTCTCACATTTCCCTAAGGGGGATCGATTCGAGTGGGGGGAAGGCATTGCTAAGGTCCTTTCAGGAAGAGGAGAGCGGCCCACCCCAGCTAAACTGCCCCCCCTGCCCGGCTTTCCTTGGGCCTTCAAACTGACGGCCCCCCTGGGGGGGAGGGTCCATGTGCTCACCAGCCCCGCTGCCCTTCTATCGAGGAGGGGGAATTTGGCAGAGCCCTTAGCAGGAAGCAGGTTTCTGTGGGCGACTTGTAAAAATGGTGGTGGTGGTGGGGGCAAAATCTGGGGTAGGCCAGGGATCTGTGGGGGTCAGTGAGGGCCCCTCCCTCTCGCACCAGGAGGTCGAAGCAGAGCCTGCAATGGATCTGGCTGGGCTGTCCTGGAGGGAGGCTCTGACCCTCGGAGGTATCTGGCACCCGTCTCTTCCCCCCCCCCACCCCCACCTGCTCCAGAGTCCCAGGTCTGAGATCCCCCTGGGTCTGGGGGGTGCCCACAAGGAGGGGAAGGGGGCGCCCTCCTCCAAGCACAGCCGCTCACCTGGCTCAGCCTCCCTCCCCCAAGGGGCGCCCTGCTCTGCTGCGGCCAGGCGGAGTGGGAGGACAGCAGCCGCTCAGTTTTGGGGCAGCCAATGAGATCAGGGAGACTCCGGGTGGCGACTCTGGACCGGTTCTTAGTTTAAGACGACGCCCTGAAAATAGGGCTCATCTTGAAAGGGGCTGCCAGGTCTTCTCCGATGTTAGGCCAGGACTGTAGGGAGCGGAAGCCCCCCCCCCCCCCAAAGACACCCAGGTGCAGAAGGCTGGGGGTGCAGGGAGGCCACCTGTGACCGGGCCCCCTTTCCTTGGGGGGCTCCCGAGACCGGGCCCAGCCGGGAACCCCTCCCCGGGCCCTGGGCTTTGCAAAGTGTAGGGACCCCCGCCTCCTGTGGGTATTTTGGGTGCAGCCGCTCTGCGGTTTGGGCTCCCTGGCATGGCGAGGGGAGAGGGGAGAGGGAAGGCTAAGGACTCGGGGTTCCTCCCCATCTGCCCCCCTGTCCTTCCCCAGGAAAGCAAAAGAAAGGCCATTCGGTGTGTGTGTGAGTGTGTGTGTGTGTGTGTCCAAAGGGGGAAGCAGCAACTCCAGTCAGGGCCTGTCCAGCAAGAATGGAAGACGTCACACGTGTCCCCGGAAGCCAGTGCAATGTTGCCTTTCCCCCCCTTTTGTGCCCCCCCCCCGCAAATCTTTTAACATTCAGAACATCTCAAAGGAACTTTAAAAAGAGCCTCTCTCTTTGGCCCCCCCCCCCATTCATTCAGTCAGTCACTAAAACCTCCCACAAGCATTGCAGGAAGGAGCCCCCAGGCCCCCCCTCCCCTCCCCCCAGCAAGATAGAGCTTCGGTCAACTGTTAACTAAACAAGGTGGCTATAGATATATAGAGATATTGGTTCTTTTTTTTTTTTCCCTTTTCAAATATATAGCTGATTAAAAAGATGCAAAAATGGGGGACTAGGACGGAGGGGGGGGAAGAGACTTCCTGTGGCTGGGCATCTTCTCCTTGGGCATCACCCAAGCGACAGAGAGATGGAGAGGGCCCTTCGACGTCTCCCACCCCCCCCCAAGCCAAGCCAAGCCACCCCGCTCCCCACCAGGGCGGCCCTTCGCCTCTCTTTGCGCCCCAAGCATGCTTCGATCCATGCGACCTCAGCCCCGCTTGCAACAGTCCTCCAGGGGGCAGTGCCCGCTCTCCGTGGGGCGCCTCTCCCGGCCTTCTCCTCCTCCTCCTGGCCCCGCTGGGTCCTTGCGGGGCAGGGCCCGGGGCTGTGGGGGCAGGAACTGGGCTGGGCGGGGGCCCTCCTGAGTGAGGTTCCCACTTCTGCCCCTTGACCTCTCTTAGGAGCTCCTGCTGACCTTCACAGGGACAATTCCTCCAGCAGCAGGCGCTTGGGTGCCAGGGCACCGAGCCCCTCCCCCCACAAACCCCCACTGGCCGGTCAGCATTGGGCCTTCCGCCAGGCCGAATGCAACACAAGCAGCCGCAGCACCACCACGTACGCATCTGGCTCAGGCCTGGCTGGAGCCTTTCAATCCCAGCGCAAGGACCCCCGTCCCTTGTCCCTCCGGCCTCCCCTCGGGGCCCGGGCCGTGGGGGCAGGACCCGCTGCCGAGGGGTTCTCCAAGAGGGGAGCGCTCTCCTTCCCCGGAACCGCCTGTCCAGCAGTGACTCTCTTGGGGAGGGCTGGGCTTCCGCGGCCCACGCCTGTTCCTGAGGAAGGGAATCTGCACCAGGGGGGCCCGGGGGGATGGAGGGAGAGGAGGTGCCTGCTGCCCCCGCCCCCCGGTCTTTCAGTGCAGCAGTCAGAGCAGGGCAGGAAGAGGCTCCGGTCTACTGGCCTAGCAGGAACGGCCCCGCCTGCCCCTGAGTGACGCGGCTCCAGGAGAGGAGCCCGGGCTGCCCAGATGGTCAGCTGTCTGCCAGCTGCTTGAGTGCCCGCTCAATGTTCATGCGGTGCCCCACCCGCGTCACCCCCAGCTCCACAAAGTCCTCCTTGGTCAGGGCGGGCAGGTGGGTGCCCTCAATTTCATTGTCCTCAAATTTGTCTCGGTGCTCCACCAGGTTAATGCTCTCCAGCCAGTCCCCCACGTCGTATTTGTTCCAGAGCTGGAGGGGTTTCTGCATGAAGGGCCGCGGGGGGTGGAGGGAATGCAGGGGGGGCCCCGGGGAAGGGGAGGGGGAGGGGGAGCGGCTCCGGGCACTGACGCTGCGCACCACAAAGCGTACCTCCTTGGGTTCGTGTGGGATGGAGAGGCTGGAAGATTTGAGGATGGTGGGCGGGGTGAGCCCATAGGGCCGGATGGTGCTCAGGGGGTCTGTCCTATCCAGGGCAGGCTTTACCGGACTGGGAGTGCGGCGGGTCACAGGGTAGCGGCTGCCAGGACGCACGGTGTAGGTGGTGCCGGAGCTGCGCTGGGAAATGGTGCTTAGTTCTCCTAAACTACTGAAAAGTCTGTGAAGACAGAGAGAGAGAGAGAGAGAGAGAGAGAGAGAGAGAAGCAGTGGTGAGAGAGGTGCCCAGACATAAAACAGGTGCACACACACACACACACACACACACACACATTCCCCACACAACCAGCAAGGCCACAGCTTCTGCAGAACCCGCCGGGAAGATCCTCCTGCCACCCCATGAGGTCCTCTGCACAGGTCCTTCTATGCAGGCTTCCTCCCCCAGAGACAGGGAGGTTGGGTGGGTGGGTGGCTGACCCTACCCAGGAATCAACAACCCCCCTAAGCCCCCCCAAGTCCTTACTTCCTGCAGCCCACAACCTCTCCCTGCAGCTGAAGTGAGGATCTGGGCGGGGAGAAATCCTCCCTGGGGAGGTTTTGTTGGAAATGGGATAGCGTTTCCTGCTTAAGCAGCGGGCTGGGCTAGAAGACCTCCATCGCTTCCAATTCTACGATCCTGTTACAGTTCCCTGGTTCAGCTTCATGTCCCAAGGTGCAAGAATCTGCCTGCCTGGGCGGGAGGGTGGCTAGTTTCCTCCTGGTGCTTTTTATTAGCTCTGGAAGCCCCCCCACCCCACCCCCCCAGACCCCGGCAGAACTGAAGGTTTGCTCCGTGTAGACCAAGGGGAAGAAAAGGGGATATTCAGCCTTTCTGAGGGAAGGGACTGCGTTCCTCGCGGTCTGGGCCAGGGCTTTCCAAACTTGGCAACTTTAACACCTGTGGACTTCAACTCCCAGAATTCCTCAGCCAGCTGTGCTGGTGTAGACTATTTCCCCAGACAGAACAGTTTGCACCTTTTTGTTAAAATGTGTGGTGGAACCTGTAGCTGAAAAGCTGGAGAGGGCAGAATGAAAAGAGGCTCTAGCATGGAATCCCTGCAGGGGAAGAGCCAAAAGAGACCTGACATTTCCTCCCCCCCCCCCCCCCCCCCCCCCCCCCCCCGCCAACCCCGAAATCCCTGGAGGGCTTATTCGGTTGTCCACAAGAGAGCCTAAATAAGTCTGGTGAGATGGGAAGAATAGGCGAAAAGGAGGCGGGATACTTCTCCTATCAGTTCACGGTGCCGTTCTGGCAAGTGTGGCACTCGGGAGTGGAACGGGTCGGCTGGAAAGTGAACCGCTCTTTTCTTAGCCTGCCCTTTTCCAGTGTTGTGAGAATGAGCCAGGGATCAAGTTGTGTTTGGCTTTCGCTGACCAGGGAGATGCCCTCCTTGTGGACCTCCCTCTGCTCATGGCCTCCATTGGACGATCCCTTTTCTTCCGGGCCACCTGGGACTCGTTACGAGCCGATGTCTCCAGGGCACAAAGGGTAAGGAAGAGAGAAGACCTGCCCCGATTCTGGGGACGGAGGGCTGAAAGGCAGAAGGGCAGGCAGGACATGGGCAGCGGGAGAACGATGAACCCTTGGAAGGGCCCCCCCCTCCAGCAGTTGTGGCTGCTCCGTCCCTGGAGGCTTTAAAGAAGAAACCGGACAGCCATCTGTCTGAAAGGGTACAGGGTCTCCTGTTGGATCCGGGGGCTGGACTAGAAGACCTCCAAGATCCCATCCAGCTCTATTCCAAATTGAAGGTCTGAATTCTGTGAGTCGGTGTAGAAAAGGCCTAGTGGTTGGGGACTCCTCTGGTGCTATCCTGCCCCTGGTCAGAAGGCGGCACTTCCCCCCTAAGGGGCTGGGTGGGTGGGAACTGCCTGAGAAGAGGTGCCCGAAAAGACAGAGCCAGGGGGAGGAAGCCCCCCAGCTCTGGAATCCCCTCTTGCACATGAACAGCAGCAGCTGGCTCAGAAGAGGAAACGAGACCAAGCAGATCCGTGATCCTTGGGACCCTTGGATGCGGATGGACGACCTGGGCTGGAGCCTTGGGAAGGCAGCAGAATTGCCCCCCTGCTGTCTGACAAGATATGGACAAAAATGTCCCGAACTTGTTCCTTTGCTCAGTTCACCTGTCCTGGGCACCCCGGCGTCTGTTCCTGTGCAGGAAGGATGCAGGATGAAGTGACCAGCAGCAGCTTCTAAGGAACTGGACGCCATGTCCTTACAACGCAACCAAGCTCTTCGCAAGGCCAGCTTGTCTCTTGGTCAGTGGTGAAATGCTCCCGGTTTGGCCCGGTTTCCCTGAACCGGTAGTAAAAAAAAAAAGCTCAGATGATCAGCTGAGAGAAAGAAAAGTGCAGGATCGGCCCTCCAGCCACCCAGCCCTGCGCTTTCCCCTTCTTTCTCCTCTCAGACGACTTCCACACTCAGCTGGTGTGGGGAAAAGCTGCGTGAAGTGCGCAATCACTGAAACAGCAGAGACACTGGTAGAATCCCACCACTGCTCTTGATCAACAAGTGGCCTTCAGACATGACGACGGCCTCGAGTTTTCCAAATTGACAACAGGTAGCAGTCATAGAGCGTCATGGGCTTCAAAACCCTTGATGGGGGGCCTTGAGGGGGGGCAAGAAGAGGAGTTGCTGGCAAGGCAACAGGTGAAAGAAACCCGAGTCTGGGGCCGACCTGTAACCAGAGAAAGCATCTCAGACAAGACACTCCCCAATTCTCAGAAAGACGAAGGAAGCCGGGATGCATGTTCACAGTGGAAAGATTCTGTCGCTAGAACCTTAGAAGTGATAATAGCATTCGTGATTTGGTTGCCTTGAACTCTCTAACGGCTGCTGGAAGGAGAGGACAATGGGGCCTTCCAGGGTGGGAGCCCCCAAGAGGCCTCCGGTTTGACACTTTGGCAGAAGGCCGTCTGATGGCCAGCTGCAGGCTGTACAAGGCAGAAGGCCCCACTGGGCTGGGATGAGGCACCAAGGCCCAGGCCTTCTGCCCCATCCCTTTCCTGCTGCAAGCAGCAGCCCAGCCGTGTTCACCAGCCAGAAAACGAGAGGGCAAAGTATGGAAACCTCCAGCACCTACGGCTTTCCAAGCACTTTCACTGTCTTCAAGTGGATTAGTCCAGTGTCCTCCATAATAGAGACGACAGCGCTCCCTTGTAACGGATTAAGTGGGACCTCTCTCTGCTTCAGGGACTTTGCACGGAAGCATTTGTGCATTGGCCTGTGAAAAGTGTGTTGCTTTCCACAACATGGAAAGTCAGGAAAGGAAGAAAGGGCTACGTTGAGAGGAGGGTCTTCAGGAAGCTCTGCCAGATGCCTCCAAGAGGAAAGGCTCCTCAGCTTGCAGTCCCATTAGCAGACATCTCGGGGCCTGCCAACGCTCAAGAAGTCATTTGTTGCCTGGCTTCTCTCCGTAGACAATGAAGAATGACCCAGGTCCACGAGAGAGCGAAGAATGCCTTCCTTGGACAGCAGCCCTTCAATGAACATGGCTAGGAGGACGGCTCCTCATTCTTCAACAGTCACGGAAGGCATTTCTCCGGTGGAAGGCCTGGCCGGCCAGGCAGGTGGGCCAGGTCTTGGACTTTGGTTGGCTTGGGATGGACTCAGGGTGGGGCTTGGAGCCGAGTTGGGTCCATTTCTTACAAAAGCTTTCTTCAGTCCGTGCTCGGGCCGTTTGTTCCTAAGGGCTGGGAGCCAGGGCATAAGACTGACCACTGTGATCTTCTGTGGAATTAGCCATTCTTAGTTGGCCAGGCAGAGACGTGCTTGGCTCACTCGGTGGCAATGGCCATTTCCAAGAACCACAGCTTTGGTTGAAGGAGAAAACCCGTGTTCATCATGGCAAAGTCTGAGGTTTGGCTAATCCACCTAAAGCAACGGCGGTCAAGTAGAATGAAGAGAAGCCCAAATCTAAAACACTCCACTTGCCGGAAGCGGTGGGGAACTAATGTCCTACAAGGGCTCCTTCGGATCTGCTTGCTCCCAAATAATTCCTGGGTTAGCCTTAGCAGGGAAGGGGGTGGGTGGGGGACTTGGCAGAATTCCTCCGCGGGATCACAATCTTCCTGACAGCTTTGTAACACGGGAAAAATCCCAGCGATTTGGAAGGAGCCAAAGGAAAGGCAGATCTTCATCCCAAGTCAAACGGCTGCCTGTGACCTCCCCACCAGATGAGCCTCACACGGCCTGACCAGTCGCTCACGTGACTCACTGACCACCTAAGACCTATAAAAGCAGAAGAGAACTGAAAGAGGACACTTGGATGTCCCCCAGCCTGGGGACAAAGCCCTCAAGAAGCCCGGGCCCCCCCCCCCCCCCCCGAGAAGATCTGCCTGTTTGGAAGACTCCTCTCTCCCCGTTGATGGTCAGACGTGAGGCGATGCGAAAGAAGCTCCGTCTCCAGACAGCCTGAGAATTTAGGAACGTCTCCTTGAGCTGAACGTAGAACCCCGAAGGACTTCCCAGTTTGGAGAGCATCTCCTCCTGGTCTTATAATGTATATAATAATATCATAACTGATAAACATTGAACGGAAAGTATAATCCTCAATCCGCTTCCCAGCTGGCTTTTTCTAGGGGAAATGAGAACACTCTGGCCAAAGTGAGGCACTTTTTAAAATTCAATTTAAAATACTAAAGAGTAAATAATTTGCTTCATGTTCCCACGCGGACAAAAAACCTCGAGAATCCACAATGTGGTGTTGCTTAAAACCTTTTCCTCGGAACCAAGTCGGACATTCCGTTGTAGGAGCACGGACGGACTCAGCAGAGTTTTTTTTTAAAGGGCTGAATCCCGAACCGCATTTCTTCTCTCTAAGGACCTCAACAAGAACAAGAAGGAGGAGGAGGCGGCAGCGGCAAAGTGACGGTCACTTCCGTGGCTGAATATCCCCGGCGGACACCATGTGGCGGGTGGAGTAGTTTAGAAGATGCTCAGCTCTGGAGAAGAGTCCGAACACAACGAGGGTGGCAGGAACAACCCCGTTCACCAAGGGTGTGCTTGTGTGTCACGTTTTACAAAGACAGACGTTCCGGCTGCCAGGAACTCCAAGGCTCTCTGTCGCTCAAGAAGAATGTAGGGTTTTTCCTCCAAGATTTTCGAGAAAAGGCTTGGCCACCGATTGTCCAAGATGATACAGGCTGTCCTGCCACAAGCAGGGGACTGGCTTGGAAGACCAC